CACAAAATTTGCAGGACAACTGCCTGTGGTTTTCCCTATACGTCTGTAACACATCACTAATTGGTTATGGAATCTCTTTGCTCTGCTAGGTCTATGCTAAAGGCTATTTTTTCAGAACCCAAGGCTCAATGGACTATCCTTCCTAGTATCTGATTTCATCAGTCTCTAAATGTCTATATCTTGGGTGCTGAATTTCCTTCCTCCCTATCTACCCCCACATGATCATACTCATTTTTATATAACAGTGTTTCCCATTTTTCCAATTGAAGCATCATTTTCTCTTGCCTTTTCCTTAAAAAGGAAAGAAAAAAGTATCACTACTACTAGCAATGGTGGCTATTCATCAAACATTTATATTTCCTCTGGCTGGTTGGGTGGTTTAGTCCTCTGGTTGAACCAAACCTCCACCCCTTCTTTGTGATAGTCAAAGTTGCTAATAAGCAAAACTTTCACCCCTATTGGCAGAGAACAATGTTCATGTACAGCACCTTATATCCTAAACGAGCCCAAAGCACTTTACAGATTAAACATCAGGATCACTCACCCACCACCACAATGTAGTTACCACTGAACATGTCAGCAATGCTACATAAAAGTTAATTAGGAGATGGAGCAGAGTAACTTCTCCAAGTGAAATTATGGGGAAAATTAAAGGAGATAAAGAATATTGCTCAACCTAGAAATTGGCCAGGATACTAAACTTTACACCACGCCTTCCTTAATAACTAGAAAGTAGACAGGACTTGTGTTTTAAGATGGAATCTTCAGTAACACAATGCTCCTCATGACTCCACTGAGATATAGGTTCACAGTCAACTCAGAAGGCGGCATACCGCTTGTAGAATCTCCATCATCACGTACCACTGTACCTGGGATTTTCCTTCAGAGGTATCCCATCCAAACTGTCCCCAAGAATGACCAGGCTTAAATTAAGAGATCTGACTGATCTCACCACATTGTATTTTTACAACATCAGCACTATTATTCATTTTAAGCAACCAAGTCTTGAGCGGGAAGCTGTTATTTAAAATAAACAGACCCCCTCAGGGAGGAATCCAGTGAAACATATCACACAATTTTAGGGGCTCCATCATGGGATCACCTGTTTCTACAGCATGGCATCTTGCCTGCAAGGTTAAGCTTAGTAGTTTTAAAACTTCTCATTTCAATTTAGTAGATCTGGTGAATGCAAATAGATCTATTAAGTTTAAATGACCATGCAAAGCTGAAAATCCCAAGCTTAAAATTTAGACAAATGTTCTATGGTAGCACAAAGGCTACGCCCCACTCTTCGTGTAGTGATACCATATGTTTCAGCAATAGATCCTTCCATGAGGAGCCTGTAAATAGGAAAAAAAAAATCTGATTTCAAGCACTTAAGTTACTAAACACAAAAAAGGAAAACAAAAACAAAATGTAGGGAAAAGGTAGAAATATTATTGGTCACTCTTAATCAGTATAATTAATTTGTAATTAAAGTTATGTAAGTTAAGTATAAATTAGCTGACATTACATTTATACATTTCTCGGAATATCTTTTAGATCACTTGGGATACGCTTATTTATTTTATAGATGTAACATCATGAGAAGGATAGTCCATTAAAAATTAATATGCCAGAGTAATAATTTCACTCTCTCAGTTCTCAATTCCTATTCTCCATCGCTAAGAGTTTTTATTAGTATTGCTTTTCGGAAGCACAAATGGGCTTGTACTATGAAGTATCAGAAAACTTACACTGGGACACAACAGATCTTTCAGGACAATAGTTTAATAGGATTCAATGTAGGATTAAACATTTATATGGATAATGAGAACACTCAGAGTTTGTCTACACAGCAAAGAAACACCTGCAGCTGGCCTGTGCCAGCTGACTCCAGGCTCGCTGCGGGGGCTGTTTCATTGCAGTGTAGACTTCCACCCTGCAGGATCATAGAGCCTGGGCTCCAGCCTGAGCCCAGAAGTCTACACAGCAATGAAACAGCCTCTGTAACCCAAGCCCTGTGAGCCCGAGTCGGCAGGCACAGGCCAGCCCAGCCCGGGGTTTTTCTTTGCTGTGTAGGCATACCCTCACAGTTATATCAGATAGCGTGCTGTACTGAAAACAGTGTAAAAATTACAACCTGTCACTTTAAATCCTAAAGGTTTCCCTAGTCCTGCTTGCAGGTTAGGAGGCTATGTAGGGAAGCATGCAATCAGGGTCTTTCAGAAGTCAGTCTGCAGAGAGCCCGCCTAGAGTAAGATTTACTCAGGAGCCTGCTTTATCTCTGGTTTTGGGTTCTTGTGCGGTATCATTCTGAATTCTAAGAAACAGTGTTATGTTGCAACCTTTCAGCAAAAGTATTTTATGTTTTTAAACAAACTTCTCTATGTGTATGCCAGGAACGTAACAGATAGATAGGATAACAAAAATTAAGATGGAGGAATAAACTCTCTTGCTTCAGAGTATACACCAGCCATTCAAGGATGAGAGTCAGAAGAACACCCCTCCCCCCCGGCCAACCACCCATCCCAAGAGGCAGGTAGTTCCATAAATGATTACAACAGGGTTTTCTTGCACCTTTCCTAAAGCGTCTGGTAACAGCCACTATCACAGACTTCTGGTCCAATATGCCTATACATTAGAAGCTTACAGTTTAATACCTGAAACACTGAAAGTCACAGATATGGTCTTTGTTCTTCCACAAAATCATCTTTCCTTTGCCTTGCAAAAAAGGAGTTTCACTCATTTGGATTTATCATCTAAATCACTCACAGCAAGAAATGTTATAACTCAATTATCTCACAAATACCAAACTTAAATTTTAAAGTTACTGGTCACCTAAATGGACACTATTTATGCACTTTACGTATAAACAGTGAAAACATCTTGTAAGCAGTATATTTGCCATTGTAAAGCTTGAATTTTTTCTCAATAAAGCTTTAGAAGCAAACTACATGGGGCTGGACACTTACATTTTTAAAGCAGTATTAACTTAGGAGGGGGAAGTTTAAAGGCAGAAATGGGATTTTAGGCACCCAGTTTCCACTGATTTTCAGTGAGAGATGTGCACCTCTCATTTGTGCTTTTCAAAATCACCCCATGCAAGAGTTCTGGATAATTTTCCAGTAGGCAAACTCAGACCACTTCTTTCCATGACTGAGGACTATTAATTGTTTTTTAAATGAAGTGGCGCTCTCTCACACACACACACACACACACACACACACACACCCCCACACACCCCTCTTCTGGGAAGAGCAACACAGCTTTACAAGGCAATCCTGAACAGAAAAATAGCACAATATCTTGTAATTATAGAGCTGAGATTAAGTGGATTACGGTTTATTTAATATTGATCTGAAAGTATTTAAATCTGCAAGGATCCCAATATTACTAATGTATTTACATTTGTGAATAAGTAAATAAAAAGCCTGTTATTAAAGCCTTCATTAATTCTGATTATATGAGAACTTAAAAACAAATCAGTGTATTGCTGCTTTGTAGAGTCCCAGGGACTCTACTGAAAAACTGGCACTGTAACACAACACATATCAGCAAAAATGACTAACAGGATCTACTTTCAGTAATCTTAAATCACACTGGCAAAATACGGAATTAATGGTTTTGCATAATTCCCCAAGTATTTTTATTTTAATCTGTTCCTGATTCATGTCTTATTGTATAAAATATAATTGATTTTTATATCACTTGACATTTATGTGCAATGATAGACTACATTTTTTTCCTTCAACCACAACGTTTAGGCAGCGCTCAAATGTTTATGTTATTACGAAAAGCAATCCAGCAATTTTAATTCTTAGGAGTATGGTGCTTAGGGGTTTTAAAATATCACATTGACGGATAACATTAGAAACTTCATCCTAACCTTAAAATTCTGATATTTTTTATATCTTTATTTAGGGCCAAATTCTTTACTAATGTAAGTGGGCACAGATTCAATAGAATTTTACCCAATTACACTGGCAGAGACTTTGGCTCTTAATTACTAAGGAGCTTTAGGATCATGTCTATGAAATCTGTTCCACAACTTTTTTTTTTAAACATTAAAAAAAAATTGTTTTTAGGAATAATTTGCTTTAAGCTATTATTGGGGTCTGAGATTCAGCTCCTTTTAAGAAAAATAATGAAAAAATTCTGTGCCCCAAGTACATTGGTCTAAAAATTTAAAGCAGTCAAGAGACAAAATTATTTAATGTCTATACCCTATTCTTATACAATACATGAAATTAAAGCAATTTATTACTTTATTAGCAGAGGAGTTAAATTGGGTTTCACATGCTGACCCCATTTGTCACTTCTGGCTTTATAACCTCCCCATGGAAGTCAATTGTGGTGAAACTTGGCATCAAGGGCCCTTAAGTTGGAAAATGAATAGTTGTGCTTTAAGGGTCTGATCCAAAGTCTATTGATCATAACAGGAGTCTTCCCATTGACTTTAATGGCCTTTGGATCAGGCCTAAAGAACCAATGGTTATTGATTTGTATTACCGTGACACCTAGGAGCCCCTGTGCAAAGCACTGTACTAACAGGCTCATCACAAATGTATTTTTAACTGAAGGAGGGAGAGGGGAAATTGACAAAACATTTAACAAATAGCAAAAAAATGTTGTGATACTAAATGCTTTCTCACTACTCAATTATTTATAAAGTAATTCCCAGTGATTAAGAGAACCCGTAGCCTTTAAACACAAAGTTAGGAGTTAGAGGATGATTAACTGCACTTTATTATATCCAGTAATTAGTCTGGGTTAAAACAATGTTCTACCAACTTTACATAGTTGGTCCAGTGTAACAAGAAAATTTGGCCTCAAAGGAACAAATAATTTCTCCCAAATTTCAAAGTCCAAGTGCAATGTCACTGTAGTATGTTATAAATATATTACCAAATCATCATAACAATATTTACAGGAAATTTTTAGGCACAGTACAAAGGGAAAGAGAGGATCAGAGGTATTTTCAGTATTTATTGATATATACAGTACAAGGAATAGCATACCTGATAATCTAAAATGCTGAATCCTAAACCTTTATAGTCTTTTTCTAGTTCAATAACTTTCACATCAGGAGACCACAAAGCTAGTTCACCATCTCCTTCCTCTTCAGGATGAAGGTCTACTTCTGGTTTCATCTGAAAAATAAAATATCTGCTGCAAATACTATCCCTATTTTTAGTTTTGGATGGAAGTTTATTCATTCAATATTCCTCCTACATTAATGGTTCATCCAAGATGGAACTCATTATATATATTCCTTTTTCTCTAATTCCATCCAGACTAGGGTCCTGATCTTGCAAACACTTATGCATTTACCACAGGAAGTCCCATTGTGACCACTCCCAACAGCAAAGCTAAACATGTCCATCAGGGCCTAACACTGCACACACATACTGAGATGTAATTATATAACGTTAAGGATTATTTCTAATTACACTAATGGCACTAACCTTTTACATGTCAATGGACTTCGGCCATCCCATTAGATGCATAAAAGGAAAAATAAATTTCTCAACACAAGGATTTAACCACCACATAAGGGAAAGCCCATGAAAAGACAGAAGGTCCTGAGGATTTTAAGTATTAGAATCTTAATCAATCCCAAATTGCAACTATGTGAGTACATGACTTTGAAAAAACTTTTTTTTTTCCTTTAACCTTTGAACTCTGGAAGAGAGAGAAACACAAATCCCTCTAAAAATAACTGACTTCACAAGTGTATTTCAAAAAGTTTTGGGAAAAAAATCATCCCTTGTTGTCTAAGATAAAATACAGATTACAAATTTTATTGCTATTGCATCATGTGTTGTAGAGAGAAACAATATTGCAAATGTAAAAGAAAAAAAAGGAAGTCCGCAGGCAAGTAGCATGATCTCTGCGAAGTTTGAATGGAAATTGTCATCAGGAACCTTGAAGACCTTCCATTATTAACATAGCAATCATTTAATTTCAGCTCATTGTGTAAGCACGCAGGTATCACAAACCATCACCACTGGCCCAAAGGGATAAAGAAGCTATAATCACAGACATGGCTTCTTGCTCCCTAGATCAGAAGAAAGTAGAAATATTGTGGAGGTGGATTTAAGGAGCAAGAGAGTCTTTGGGTCATTCAGTCAGTATCAATTGTTGGCAAATGCACTTAACTGGTGTCATACGGATGAAAAATATTCATTAAAAGGCAAAGTCAAGTAGTAAGGAAGAAGGAATTCTATAACAATAGAAGGGACCATTCCAAATAGCACATGGTTCCTCTTTGTGCCTCCACTATTGAACAAAATATCCATAGTACTGGCCAACCTATCTTCCTAGGAAGGCCATCCTACCAAGCAGAATCTAGATCAGGGAGAAGGGGCAACCAGGAATAAATACATTTTATAATGGAAAAATGTTACAAGATTCAACACTTAATTTGGGATTTTTAAGGCTTCTACCATGGAAATAAGTGCTAAGGCTCCTGTTTTCCCAGTTTTGCATAAAAACTAGATTTGCAAGATGGAAGTAATCAGCTAATGGGAGCAAGGCTTAGATTTAGTATAATTCAAAGCTCCTGCTCACCTATTAAGCTGAAGAATGATGTATTTGATGTACATAGTCAGCATGCTAGCTTAGTGATTTACATACCTTGTATTTATAGTACAATGAAGTTTTTAGTAACCTACCTGAGTAAACATTAAAGTTGCGAACATGAAATATCTTTCACTGAAAACACATTATCTAAAATACTGTCATAGCCTAGGAACATGAAAAAGTCAAAGCATCACTCAGAATCCATGCACCTTCTAGTCAAGTGTTCCTGGGTCTCTGTTGAACACTTTGTGCTTTAGCTTTAAAGAGAAAATGTCACTAAATCAGTTAGATTTGTTATTGTTTAATGAAATATAATTTTCACATGCAGATTCACAGTGTTCTATTTAAGTTCCAGAATATCTCACCATGGTTCATTTCAACCCACCCAAAGACTTGGGCTATTCTGTCACTACTACACTAATTAAAGCCAAGTCCTGCTCTCCTTGAGTTAATGAGTTTGGGACATCCACTACCAAAAGCTACCTTGGCACATTGTATTTATATATGTAAAAGCACAAATGTCACGATGCTCCAAACTTTCCTACCCGATTTCGTGTTCATACTTTAAAAAGATGTTGAGTCTCCTAGGAAAGTCATCTGGTGGTGTATGAGGAAGAAAATGGTATCAGAACTCTATGCGTGGCTTGTTCAAACCATTATGTAGATGCAAGGTCAACACTCAGAACTTCTAGTGGTGAAACAGACAAACTATTGCTAAAGGTGGGAGTGTGTCAGGGATCAGCATTGAGCCCTTTCTTGTTTAACCTCATCCTGGATACCCCCACAAGGAACATACAGAAGGAAACACCTTGGTGCGTGTTGTCTGCAGATTATATCATTCTATACACTAAGAAAAATAGTCTACAAGAGGATCTTGATAAAATGAGAGATGTGTTGGAGAGACAGGGGCACAAAATAAGCAGAGAAAGAGAACATGGTATGTAATTTCAATTATATGAACACTGTAGAATTATCCTTCAAACTAGACACGCAGTCAATACTGAAAATGCAGTTTCAAGTATTGGGGGTCCAGAACCTGAGAAAATAGAGGATTAAATAAGAGAGTGAGGATAATGAATGCTTGGCTCAAAAGGAAAGAGGTAAGTAGTGTAGGGTGTGAAAGGAAGATACAAGTAAGCGTAAAAAGAGAAGTCTGTAAAACTGTGGTTCATCCAGTTTTCAAGTATGCTGCTGAGTGTTGGGTAACAAAGAAGAAACATGAGCAAATGATGTTGCACAGAAATACGAATTTGGAGATAGACAAGTGGTGTAAGCAAGAGAGACCAGATGAGGAATGTGTATGCTAGAGATATGCTCAGAGTAACACCCCCAAAATGCAAAAAAACATGAGTACAGGCTCAAATGGCATGAGCATATAAACCACAGTCCTGCAAACTGTGAGTAAGAGACCCCAATATACCAAGACTAAATGAAAAAGAGAAAGGCCAGCCCAAGAAGTGGTAGGATGGCATAAAGGAAGACATGTTAGCATGTGGTGTGATAGAGCATACGTAGGGCCCTACCAAATTCAGTCAATTTTGGTCAATTTCACAGTCATAGGATTTAAAAAATAATAAATGTCACTGTTTTAGATACTAAAATCTGAAATTTCACAGTGTTGTAACAGTGGGGCCCACAACCCAAAAGGGGGCAATGGTGGGGGAGGTGTCGCAAGGCTATTGTAGTGGGGGAGGGGTGTCGCAATGTTGCCACCCTTACATCTGTGCTATTGCTGGGGATGGCGGTGCTGCCTTCAGAGCTGGGCAGCTGGAGAACACTTTTGTGGGTGGACAGGGCCAGCCTTATGGGCAACCACCCAGGGCACCATGGTTGGGGGCAGGTTTCCGTGGTCACACACCCACCTACACACACCCACACAGACCCCTTTAATCCCCGAGTGCTGGACCCGGAGCTAGGGAGGGGAAGGGGCTGAGGGCACCCTGGCTGAGGGCTCCTACCATACGCCACACTTCAGCTGCAGGTCCTGGCCGGGTTGGTGAGAGACAGGACTTCCTCTTCCCCTGCAGGGGCCCTTCCCAAGGCTGGTTCAGATCCATCTCCAGGAACCTCCCCTGGCTGCAGAAAGTTCTGCAGCTGCTGGCTGGGACCCCAGCTCCAAAGGCCGCGCCGCTGCCAGCAGCAGGGCAGAAATAAGGCTGGCATGATATGGTATTGCCATCTTTACTTCTGCGCTGTTGCTGCCTGTGGCACTGCCTTCAGAGCTGGGTGGCCGGCATCCACCACTCTCCAACTGCCCAGCTCCGAAGGCAACGCAGAAGTAAAGGTGGCAATACTGTGACCCTTGTGACCCTCCTGCAAACTCCCTTTTGGGCTGGGGCCCCCAGTTTGAGATATGCTGGTCTCCCCCGTGAAATCTGTATAGTATAGGATAAAAGTACACAAAAAACCAGATTTCACGGGGGAGACCAGATTTCACAGTCCATGACGCATTTTTCACAACCGTGAATTTGGTAGGGCCCTAAGTATATGGCACTGAACAGAACACTTTGGAGGGAGAGAACTCACAGAGTGGAAACCATTTGATGGGATTAATGCAAGGAAGAAGAAAGAAAAGGATTCTGAAAGGTGTTTGAAAAACCACAGATGACATCGGACATAGCAAAGCGATTTGAACAAATCAACAACTTCTGACAAATCAAACAATCAGTGCTGAATCCTATCATCTGGTTGTATTATGATATCAGAGCTGTGTTGTTTATCTTACTGGGATTGGAAACAGATGTTATCTTTCATGTTTCCAACAGCACCAAGCACATGGATAACCCTCAGGACAAAATACAATGAGCTTTTGTTAAAGATTCGAAGTGATGACCCTACATAAGTACAAAGTAAATCCCTCTTACTGAGCTGGTTTCTCATGTCTTTTAACCTGCTTGGCATTTCCATGTGAAACAGAGATGAGATGTAAAGACCATTTTGCAAGACAGTTGGGTACAAAGAGCTGATGTACATATCCACGCAAATGGATTTCAGACATTTTTGTTTTAAAGAGCTGAAATTGGTTGAAGCAAACAAGAGGGAAGCCAAAAAAACACTGTCTTTAGAAAGTTAGTGAACTTCTGTCCAACTGAGCTAAACAATCTCTTAGCGCTACCTTTGGCTCCGGAGACGAAACCTCGATGGTGCTGAGCTCATCCACAAAGGATTCGCCACCATCGTCAAACAGGCGCCGACAACAAACCAGAGTGAACGGAGGCGGCACTTCTTTCAGAAAAGAAACTGCCTCACGGCGGGATTTTCCATAAAGCTGAACTCCATTTACCTAGGCAGAAAAGAGAAAACATGCACCACCATTCAGATATTTAAAAGGATATTGATCAGGTTCTGCAATAAAAATATTCTCTTGTTTACTTTAAACCATTACATTATATGCAATAATTGTCCTCCCCAACTGTATAAAGGTCTAATTTCACTGAGGGATTCCAGTGAAGCTTGAGTGGTTTAGTTAATGTACCCCCTAAAATATACATAAATTACTGTAAGACTGTTATTCCATCTCCGGATTCTGGTGACTTTATTGTTATTACATAGTGGTGATCCATGTCTTCTGTTTTATTCAGCTTCCCTTCATTTATTTCCTGCCCTCTGTGTTTCTAGTCCCAACACCTCCTACAGCAGGCATTTTGGTCTTAATCCCTTCATCATGGTAGTCATTCTTTCTGGGTTCCTTCCAGGTAAGTTATTCACAGCCTCCCACAATGCACAGACAGGAAAACTGATTTCAGCAGTACTTGACTTTAGTTTAAAGTGCTTTTAGAATTAGTCCTAATGTCAGAACGCTTTATTTATTAAGCACTTTTCAGTGCCTGTATAAACTGCTGGCTTGACAGCCCACATGACTGAAGTGCTCTTTTCATCAACAGGCATCCCACTGGCAATGCAAACTCCTGCCCACTGTCCCACCCATGTGCCCAAATTACGTTCTACGTGGGCCAGATTGAGAGTGTTATTCATTCTCCATGTCCCAGTCAATCCATGGTTTCTCTGCCAAGTCTGCCAACAAGGATACCAGTTAGGATCAATGATGAAGCCAAAGTAGAGCTGGTTGGAAATCCCAAAACATTCTGGGGAGGCAATTGGTGTGTTGGCATCAAAAAATAGAGTTTGAGGAAATATTTCACCAACAATTCAAGTTCTGGATGATTTTGAGCTGTTCTAAATCAAATGCACCAAGTCCAAACTTCAACAATTGTTGCAGGCTTTAAAAATATAGTCAAATGGATGAAATGAACTAGATCCTTGAGAGAATATACACAAATGCTTTACACAATAAAAAGAAAAAGCAATTACAATAAGCAATTCAGCAGAAAGTCCTGACAAGTTAAGCCTGATCATCCCATAAACTTTAGCTGCTCAGTGATAACGGAAGACCGCAAGGCAATCGCTAATGATTTTTACAACCACAGATGGTGGTTATGTAAAATAATATTCCCTTCAAAGTGGCTTACTGCAATAATACTCTTTCCCCCCCCTCTTTTTTAAGAAACCTAAATATGATGAGTTTTCCACCCTCTCTCAACTTAACAGTTGGTAGTGTCCACACAAAGAACGTATCTAGGTGTTACACTTGGTTGCACTGTAAAAATATTACATATACAAAGAATGCAGAATTTCACCAAGTGTCAATGGCCTGACAAAACACCCTGATTCTACAGCTATCAAGTAGTGCATATGTCTACTGAAGTCAATATCTGCCCAATGTCATTTCCAGTATCTCCATCCCTGTGGATGTGATTTAGGTTGGTTTGGTTAAGATTACATGCCCCGTACTATATCATATACCTATCTTCCAGAGTCATCACTTTTCCTTAGATAAGATCAATTCTTCCTCTTTTGCTTTGTGTTTATGTAGTTTAAATATGAGTTATGCTGTTTAAGAACCTACCATTTTCCTCTCAACTTTGTAACACAATTGAGGAGATAATCTAGAGCAGGGTTTTTGCACCGCAACCCCCTTCTGACAACAAAAATTACAACATGACCCCAGCAGCAAGGAACAAAGCTTGAGTCCACTCAAGTCCCGCCGCCCCAGCTGGGGTGGGGGTGGAGAGGGGCGAAGCCAAAGCTCAAGGGCTTCAGACCCAGGCAGACTGCCTGTAATCTGAGCCCTGCCACCCAGGGCTGAAGCCCTCGGGCTTCGGCCCCAGGTGATGGGGCTCAGGCTTCGGCTTTGGCCTTGGCAAGTCTACCACCAACCCTGGTGACCCCATTAAAACAGGGTCGTAACCCGCTTTGGGGTCCCGACCCAGTTTGAGAACCGCTGATCTAGAGTTATACAGTCAGCAGAGCTTGTCAGGAAATTTTCCCACAAAATATATTTTATTGGGAAACGCTGATTTACAAAACAAGCTGGTCACAGAAGCATCTCTGTTTCAACAAAACTTTCATCACAAAGGTTTCTCAGCTCAAGAGAGAGACTGAGAGACATGCCTCAGAATAGCCAATGGCATACTGACAAAGGCACTCAGCTGGGACATGGAAGACCCAGGTTCAAGTCCCTACTCTGCCCTATTCAGAGCAGGGACTTGAATCTGAGGCTCTCCTATCCCAGGTGAATGTCCTAACTATGAGGCAATGGAGTCAATGTCTTTATCTTGGCCTAACAATTATTTATATGAAGCAGAACAATTTCAACAGGAGAGAGACAGATACACGCAGACCTAGAGTTATGTCTACATTACAGCAGCGTGTAGAGTACAGACGCTGCACGGTCAACTAGCACAGTGTAGCAGTAGGCAGTGCAGTAAGTAGCAATGTAGACAGGAGGCACTGCTTAGGCAAATAGTGTGCTCTACATGCCTGAACCTTAAGGGTGTACACCCTACTTGGCTCTTTAGATGCCTAAGCAGTGCCTCCCACGTCTGCACTGTCATTTTTAGCAATGTAGTGTCCTGCTTCTAGAGCCTTTCCCTGCTGTATGGAGCTACATGTGTAATGCCAGGACTTTACATGCTGTCATAAGCATAGGCATCACCTAACTCTATGGTGCTGTTTGGCAAAAACTCATGAGAAAGGCCTCGTTTTCGTTCCACATCAGAACGAAACTGCAAGTCAAAACCTTGACGTTTGTTGTGAACTGGAATTCTTGTTTTCTTGCCCTCTAAAACGGCAGATGTTTTCAACGAGCTCTAGGAACTGTAATCCAGCATTGCCGTGACTGCTGAGCTATTAGGCTAAACCGTTAATTAATTATTTAAACAAAAATATCAGTGCAAAGTTGTTGTTTTTTTAAAATGCATTTGGAGTGCTAGTGTGGTGGGAAGTTATCATCTCTCAGCGTTCTGTGATTGATGACAAGGGCTACTCTATGTCCACCAGCAGACTTGGGGACTCCCTCGCTGCTCTCTTATAGCTGCTGGAGATCAATCTCTAAGCAGGAAGGGTGCCAGATGCCCCATCCACTGATCACTCCATACTAGCCATTCCACCGAATGACAGTAATGGAGGTTTTAGAACAAAATGGATTGGGAGAGTGACAAGGAGGCAATGGACACCAGGAAAAACAAACACAAGAAAATCAGTTAAAACAGGAATTTTTTGTAAGTACTATGATTCCTATCAAGCAGACCTTTATAAATGTTTAAACTTGCTATACATTTAAAAATGTATCTCCCTCATTAATTATTAATCCAAACTATCTCCAGTTGTTATATCAGCACCTGTGTAATGCTGTTCGCTTTAGTTAAGGGACTGTCATAATTTCCATTACAAGCCCCTATTTAAGAGGATTTATAGCTTGGCTGTAAAAACATGCTCTAGGCTGAAATTTGGCATATATAGTTTTAGCCCTAGAGCACAGTTTTGTTTCAGCTGTTTTTTAAGCTACGGGGGGAGGGCGGGGGGTTAAAAATTATAAAATTCACTAGCGCTGGACATACTTGTGGACTTGTATAAATTGAAACAATTTTTCTTTATTATTTATGCAATAAAATTTTTCCAGATTGTGGATTTTTTTGCTTTTAGTATTCAAATTTTTGTTTAATGGCCAAGATATTTAAATAACACTTTCAACATTCCATTAACCCTGTCATGTGGAAATCCAGATTTCCTCTGTTAAGCAATAATACAAGAACATGCATTAGTTCTCAGTGATACAAGTAGGCGTTTTTGGTGCTAAAGGGTTAATAATAACCAGAGCCCAGGCCACCTGAGCCCTGGACCAAAGATGAACTAATCTAGCAAAGACCCTGATCCTTTTCTCACTGAAGTCAGTGGGTCTTTGTTCTTTGCTGCCACTAGGAGCAGGTCCAGTAAAGCTCAATTTAAGAAGTCTATTACTCTCACCCCTACACGTCACCACCCTACATAGAGTTAATTTTTTTCCATGTCTTAATAAAGAAACAGCAAAAAAATCAATTGAAAAAAATTACTATTTTATCCTTGATATCCTGCCATTAAAAATATTTATATGTATTTCTCCAAAGTAAACAGGTTCTTATTCTGGTCTGATCACACCAAAGCAGCACAAGCCCACACCCCAATACCTACTCTGTGAAGATTAATCATTAACACACTCTGCTTGCTCATACACACAAGTTTTGTCTTTGAATTCAATATCCAAGTTCCAGAGAGTGAAAGGAATAACACAAACCATCACTGCAATGTGACTGGGTGCTTGTAGGGTTTTGGGGGGTGGTTAATATTCAGAAAGAGAGATTACCAACCACAGAAATGCAAAAGTTAACTATTCAAAGGGCTTTTACCAGAGGATCGACCCTGCGGCAATCGATGCATCGGCGGTCGATTTAGCGGGTCTAGTGAAGACCCGCTAAATCGACCGCCAATCACTCTCCCGTCGACTCCTGTACCCTTACTCTTCTCTAGCAGGTGGAGGAGTCAACGGAAGAGTGTCTCCCATCGACGTTGCGTAGTGTGGCCCCCACCGTAAATAGATCTAAGGTAGGTCGATTTGAGTTATGCTATTCACGTAACTCAAATTGTGTAGCTTAGATCGACTTTTCGACAAGGCCAAAGACTCTTAATTCAGGTACCATAGATTAAAAAGTATGCCTAATACAAACATCATCATTGCACTCATCTCCTTAGTATCTGAGCACTTCACAAATAATTACATAAACCTGACAAGACCCTTGGCAAGGTAGAGCAGCATTATTTTCCCATTTACCAACAGCAAGACTAAGGCACAAAACAATTTACTGACTTGTCCCTAATCTTACAGGAAGCCTGTGGCAGAGCCAGAATAGTACAGAACCCAGCTTTTCTGACTCCTAGCCCCATGCTCCTCCTACCCATTGACTGTTTAAAAGATACTACTGTGCACATACATTTGCCAACCTAAAATGCCATAAAAGCATATTTTTAAAGAGTCTGAGCAGAAAGAACAACACTTCATTTCTAGTTCTGTGGACTTTACCTCTAGAAGTTCATCCTCCAGTTGCAGTAGGCCAAGCATAGCAATTGGACCATCTGGAGCAATTGAAGATATGTAGTGATGTCCATCAAATGTATCAAGTTCAACTCCTAATCTCAAAGTGTGGAGAGGCAATAGCTGCAAAAAATAAGCAGTGCCTATGTTTACAAACATGTATTCCTATATGTAACAAATGCATTCAACTTTCAATAACTGACCAATTCAAATTAAACTAGCTGCACATTAGCATATTTAAATCCTAACTCTGACATAACTAGTGTTGCATCACACAAATTTTGTTAATTTTTCTATTCAGTTAAATTGCTGTTTTTTCCTTGCACAGTCTGTCTTTTGGAAAAACGTACATCACTATCTTCTTCTCAAAAATATCACTACAGTGATGAACTGGAAAAAAACAAACAAACAAACAAACAAACAAACAGAAGAGAGGTGGATGTATAAGACTGCCCCTAAAAAGAGCACCTGACATCTATCCTCTGTCTAAAACTTGAGTTACTCTCCACTAAAGGCATATCCAAAAGAAGAAGATCTTACTTGTGACAGCTTCAGCGTAAAGGCACCTGTATTCCCCCTCCATGGTTAATCAAGGGCACTCTCTTTAGGCTTACAGCTCCCAGTCATCACCTCTCTTAGGCAGAGACCTATGTCCCACTCCCTCTTGATCAGGGATTTTAAGGCTATACAGCTCCTTGCGCCTTCCACTGTGATATGCCCAGCAAGTCAGATTGCCTAAAAAGGCTAGCGTCTGTGCTTTGCTTTCTACGGACAGTTTACTGCCCAAAGTTGTAAGTCACCATACAACTTCTAAGCGACCACATTTATTCATAAGGTAAAAGCATTACAGAGAAAACATTAGAAACAATAAAAGTTCTTACACATATGCTAAAAAAAATTATGAGGTCACCCAACTCCAGCCTAGAGCTCTGATAGGTTTTAGTCCTTCAAAACCAACCACTGGGTTTCCCCGATACAAGTTCATATCTGTCTTGAATCCAGAACCAAAATCCAGGCTGGGTAGATCTGCTATTTCTTTCTACAGCTTGGCCCTTTGGTCTTGGCACTCCGTAACAGGTAATCAGCAGACAAGACCCTTGCCTCAGAGCATAGCTTCATAACTCTAGGTTTTTGCATAACCAGAGTTGGAGAATTTGCATTAACCTCTCCTGAGGTATTCCCCAGGAAATCCATGTAACATTTATTGTCCCAAAAGTCTATACTTGTCTGACATATTTTCAGTACAGTCTTTTGAACTTCCAGGTTTTATGTCAGTCACATCTCTCCCCCTAAAGAGATGACATACAATCCCAGTCCACAATAGTACATAAACTTAATAAAGTCTTTCAAGGGTATTGCAGGAAATTGCCACATCTGTCACAGGATCATAATCACTATTTTAGAGGAAGACAATAAAACCTAACCATACAATCAGTCATCTCATTTCTTGATGACATTTCTATCAGGCTTTGGGGCAGGGAACATCTCTCTGAAGCATCTTTTGCAAATAGTTGCTATCACTTGTATCCATATTTCCACAAGAAATTTCATTGATTTTGTGCTGGCCATTTTCCTAGGGACAACCTCAACACTGTATTCCTTCTCTAGTAAAACTCCACATAGCAAATATCTGCGACCATTAGGAAAACTTTCTGAGCAGGCTAGCTGAGGCTCAATCCAGACAAGCTAGCAGGCTGTGAAGAAACAAAGAAGATAGCAGAGATAATATCTGTTCCCTTGATTTAGGAACTCTGCCTGGCTTCTATCACTCAAGTTCACAACTTGGTGATCTTGCTGGTACCCAGCTGCTTCTGGACAGATGCCCATTTAGGCTCTGATACTGCAGTCAATGTGACTCCGTACAGTAGTAAGAGTCCATACTTGCAAACCCCGTACGGCATTAGGACCTTACCGAGCAAAAAGTTTCTTGTAGTCAGTGTGACACTCTGCTCCATAGTCTGCACCGGTTTCCAGGTATTATTCAAGGTGCCACTCTTGCTTCTCTCCAACTCCTATCCTAACAGCTGGCATCAGCTAAAGCACTGAAGCCAGCAGCCCCCAGATTTAGAAGTGAGGGGCCCTAGATTCTTGAAAGTCATGCTCCCCACTTGCCCGACAGAGTCTGAGGAGATTTAGGACACTCTACGTGATCTATTTTCCTATGTGGGGTTTTTTGGTTTTGGGTTTTTCTTCTTTCAGAAAAGGCGTGTGAAGGAATTCAGACCCAGTATACTTAAGCAGCACTGGCAGCAAGTGGCAGTATTTCTCCAAGAGGTGAGCTAGAGCCAACGCTGGAACTCACCCATATTTCAGAAGTATCCATCTCTAGGGTTTTGGTTCATGCCCATCTACAAAAAAAAATAAAAAAAAGAAGAAAATGAAATAAGATTCCATACCTTTGAGTATTTCTGGAGCTCAGCATCATCTGTAATTGGCATGTCCACACGAACCACCTAAAAATTGTACACCATGACAATTAAATACTACTAGTATACAAACTTTAATAGAGTGCTGAATTATAGTAAAGGACTGATTATAAGAACAGCCAACAGTAAAATAAGGGGACAAGAAAATTATGCTTTTTAATTCATGTCTTGGTCCACTTTGGTGCCTTCCACACTCAGTAACCAGCCCCTCACCTCAGAAAGTGTTGGTGGCTGTGATCAGAAAGGGCTCAATCCTTCAAACCCTTAGTAGTCCTATAGATTTAAATGGAGCTGTGTGTGGCTGTAAGGACAATGTAAGGGTTTACATTATCAGACTCAAACCAAACTGTGTGTCATGGTAAAGCGAGGTGTTGCAAAATGGAAAAGAGGCATATGCAAAGGAAGAAAACAAAGACTTTGAAAAAGGTGCTGGTCAACCATGATCTTTTATTATTCAGATGGGCCAAATTTTGACATTTTCACCATCACAACCACATTTGCTACAATGAAAGGAAAATTTGTCCCACTGAGCTTCATGAATCAGCTTTACTTCCCATACATATATTGGAAAATGGGATGGTGCTAAAGAAAGTAATGTCAGGCTCTGGCAGTGCAAGGATGGGGATATCTAGCAGTTGGCATGGGTAACTAGATTTATTGAATCAAAACAGTCTTATATGGACTTCAAAGTTCTTAAAAGAGCACTAATGGATTGCAGAGAAGGGAGCTCCTCAAGACACCTCTTAATTCTACTTTAAATCTTCCAGCAAGACATTTGGAGTGATAGTTCTGCCAAACAGTAAAAATAAGTCTCTGAATCAAGTGGACATGTATTGCAAAGATAAACCATTTTTTTAAGGTCATCAGAAAAGGATGTTGGCTTGAATGCTTTATTTTAAAACGCACTCAGTTAGCAGTCTTAAAAAGCAGTACTGAATACAAAAAAACCCGGTCATTCCCCCTGTGATGACTCGTATTTAGAAATGTAATCAATCTCTTCCTTGACAATTCTCTAATAAGACGTGAAGAAAAATCTAAAGGGCAGTTAGCACCACAAAGTTGCCCCTACCTAACTTGAACTACTTCCTTTTCTCCCAAATACTTTTGATAATCATTCTTCTAATAAAAATGTAAGATTCATTATGAAACATACGACTCATATCCTGAGCCTTTTCTAAGTGTACAATAAAACAAACAGATCATAAAAACAATCATAAAAATGCCAAATATTTTAAGTGGCTGATATGTTACAAATTTTAAAATGAGGTTGATTTAAAAAAAAACATTACTCACACTTACGCAATAGTACAGATATAAACAGAACAAAAATGTGTTAATTATAACATCCCTATATTTCATCCTTGAATGTTCAGGGAAAACAAAAAATGCTACTCTACTGATCTGTTCCAACCCCTGAGCAGCTTGTAAAGTTAAGCTCACAGCATTGTAATTTAAAGAAACATAAATGAGTGTACTTTATTGAAGGATAACATACCATGACTTCATAATCAGGTCCCAGCAGTTTTCCCCATTTGGATTTCAACTCCTTTTCTGGAGAGTCTGGGTCTCTTCCTAAAATATAAAAGTGAATGTTAAATTTACTAAACCCTGCCAAGTACATTTACTTCAATAAAGATGCAGCTTAAATAAAATATTATGGAGAATGATCAGAAGAATAAAAATACATTAATTTGGGTCTATCAAGCAGTGCAAATCAGAATAGACTTTTGCAAGAAAAACAATGCAAATGTCAGCTACTGCTGAAGTGAAATTTATTCAGTTGAGAAGCATAAAAGGTAATGGTTGCTTTGATGAGATGTGAGTTCTGTACCGTTTAATACCGTAAATAAATCACTCTTTTAGGTTGCAAAGCAAATTTCACATGGCTTTATAATTTGTTGCTGTTTAAACATTCACCACTACAGAGCAGTGCTACCCCCCTTCCCACACCAACCCCTTTTGAGAAGTAAACACCTGACAAGACATTGCCGTTATCAAGGGACTGCATCAGCACAATGCAGCGGCAGACTTTATTTATACATTTGGCAGGTATAAAGGCTTGTCTGGTTTAATTAGGCCAGTGAGTAACATGAGCTTTAATATAAGCTCCAGTTCTAAACCAGTCTTCCGTGGGAACTTGGCTATCTTGACATTTATATCTTTTCAGCTTTCTTACTTATGCAACCAAGGCAGTATTATAGTCATGTAAGACAATTTGACAGGGCTAGACAGCATAAAATGACTGGCTGCCCTGCATTTGACCTCATCCAGAAGCTCAGTGCACACATATAAAGTTCCTAGCCTAAGTAATGTTGAGCTGGTAAGAGTCAAACTCTAAAGCAAAATTCCAACTAGCAGCAGCAACTGGAGAATGAATTTACTGAAAACTATTTTTAAATGGCCATAATATTGTCACAAGTCTGGACAAATAACAGAACACTGGTATCACTGACATGTCATCTTACCGGAATCGGAATGCAAATCACAACAGCAGCCCTTTTCAGTCTTTAAGTGTGTGCATGTCATTTTGAATGTTGAATGTTTTGTTAAACAAAATACCTTAGGAGTTGGAAGCGTAACTCCCATTAAAAGTCAAGAGGAATTGGGTGCCTTTGAAAATCTCCCCTTCACTTTTCAATATTAGAGGATAGAACTAACAAATCAGACTTGCAACACAATCCTCATTACATCGCTTTATTACTTGGAATTGTAAGCTATTCAATTATTTCAGTAACAATGGAAGAATCAAATAGCAACAGTTAAAAACAAAGGCTCGGAGTTATTTGCATTACAATGCAACACCCCCAAGAGATCAGGTCTCTATGCTAATTATTTTTCCCTCCCAATGTTGAGCCCCAGCTTTAGATCCCTACCAACCACTTTCTGTCACAGCAGACAGCCAAGTTTACCTCAGCTGCCTAACCAGAATTTCTCTGTATAGAACCAAGCAGCTCAGATTTCAATTTGAAGTCTCCATTGTACATATACGTCTGACCTCAGACTCAAGAGATGCAAGCACAGGAGGATTTCAGGTCAGATTTAGTCAGATCATTGTTTCTTTATTGAACTATATCAAGAATTAAGCCTGCAATAGATTCTTTAGAGATAGGCTTCTGTAGTTACGCTATGGATTCGTCAAAGAACACTGTCTTTTTTAACTGGGTCTACATTGAAGTCTCCTGAATTCATGAAATATGGGATAAGTATTGTTCTCTTTAACTATTAAATGTAGGTTTATGTCAATAGATGCTCTTCTTTAGCCCCACTTCGCTTCATTATCAGGTACAGACTGAGCACTATGTTTACCTGCCAGCTGCTTCAAGCATGAACCATAATTACACAAACACAAAAATATTCACTTACTATCATGCATCTTTTATCAAACAAATGCCTACCCTTGCCCACGTGCATGGACATCCAGACAATCCTTCCAACTCAGAGGAATACCAAGGAGTGTCATCAGAGTTCCTGCTCCAGTCCACCCCCTAGGCCCTGGGCTGGGTCCCAGCATTCATCTGCGCCTCTGCTCTCCTCCATCCAGGTATTTTTCTACCCCAGTTCCAGTCATAAGAGGCTCAGCCCTATGGCAGAGCCCCAACTAGTTTGCCATTTCCAGGTTTGTCAATGAACAAAGAGAATTAACACAAATGAACTATTCCACAAGTGTGGTAAAGCTCTCTTTCTTCAGAAACCCTTGTCAAGTTGTGGCCCCCAACTAAGTTGGCAGGCAAATACAGAGGAATAGTGCTCTCAAAAGGTGAAGCAGGCCCTTCCATCCTTCAGGGTGGGACTACCAGGCTGTGGCCATCCAAGAAGCTCTTGTCTGCCCTCAACTGAGCTGGGCTTCCCCATTTTGAGCTCCTCCCTCCATGTCTGACATCTCTCACAGGTGTGGTGGGGTGGAGCCACTTGAGCCACATCAGCTCATTAACCCTATAATGTTGCCCAATGTGTGGTTTGTATACCCCATCACACCCCCTCCCCTTCAAGATGGCATCAGAGGAACCAGGCCAGCTGTCTATGCCCTCTGTCCCTCAGGAAAAAAACAACAAAAAACACACCTTTTGGTGAGCCTTTCCAGCTCTATGCTGTACTTGAAAGGCATATGACTAGAGAGACAGGTACCAGTGCATAAGGCAGGGATTCGTGTCTTTCACTGCAATTAACCACCTCAAAGGGGCACCATCAGTGTCCAGCTTCAATGGGTTTCCCAGGATGTAATATCAGAGAAACTCCACAGCCCATTTCACCACCAGGGTTTCTTTTTCTATCACAGAACATGCTAGTTCCTGAGGGAATAGCTTGTGGCTAAAAAAATAGCATGGAATGTTTCTCTCCATTTACTTCTTGGGATATGATTGCCACCCCAGGCCTACTTCCGACACATTGGTCTGCAAAATAAGTTCTTTCGAAAACAGAGCAGGGGGTTTTCTGTTTCAGGTGAACTGGACAGGCTCTTTACACAAGCGGCCTATCCATTTTTTTAAATGCTTTTTTGCGGACATCAGGCTATCAAACTTTCCAGGGACAGCTGTCCTTAATCAGGTCCATGAGAGGTGCCGCTATCATGGAAAACCCTAGCACAAACCGGAAGTAATAACCTGCAAGCCCTAAGCATCTCCAGACCTGTTTTTTGTGGTCGAGTTTGGGCAGGCTTTTAAGGCCTGAACTTTGTCTACAGGGATTGGACCTGACCTTTCCCCACACGATATGCCAGTCAGATGATGTCATCCTTCCAATTTTACACATTGCTGGGTTTGTGGTTAGGCTGGCTTCCCACAGGGACTGGAGGACAGTGGCAACTAGTTGCAAGTGGGCTTCCCAGTCTCAGCCATAGAAGACCACATCCTGTAAATAAACTGCAGCATAAGAATCATGAGATCGGAGAACTTGGGTCACTGGAGCCATTGAAATGTCACTAGGGCACCATGGAGGCCAAAGGGCATAGTCCTTAAAGGATATAAACCAGAGCAGCAAAGGCAGTTTTCTCACATGATTCTGGTATGAGACAGATCTGCTAGTATCCCTTGGTAAAATCTAATGCTGTACTATATTGAGTCTCACCCATATGGATTAGTAGTTCAACCACCCAGGACATAGGATATGTGTTGAATTTGGAGATCGCATTAACTTTTCTAAAAATCTATACAGAAACTGGATCATGCCAGCCAGTTTAGGGACCAGGACAACTGGGTGTCATCAGTCGCTGTGGGATTCTTCAGTGACCCCTAGCTCCAACCTGGTGCAGAGCTCCTGTTTCACTGCATCCCACATTTTTTTGGGAAGCAGTAGGGAGTTCTCCCAGGTGCATTGTCCCTGCTCTATCTGGACATGATGTTGAACAAAGTGAGTTCATCCTGGCTGGGGTGGAAACCCCATCAGGAAGGCATTCATAAGGTTTCTCACTTGGACCCTTTGCTCTGGATGGAAGTTTCCCCCCAATCTGTATTGAGTCAGGGTCCAGGAATGTAGACGTTTGGGGTCCCAATTCTGGCTCAGATGGATAAGAAGTTATAAACAAGCCCTCCCGGTCCTTCCAGGCCTTCAGGAGGTTACTTTGGTAGATCTGCATTGCCTTCCTCTTGTCTGATTTCATAATTAACAGGCCCCACTTGATGTAATACTTAATATGGACCTTAATGCTTAGTAAGCAGCTTGGACATTGTGCTAGGGAGCAGAAGTACCCAGGTTTAAATACACACATATGCATCCCTTTGTTAAAGGCTCACTATTGGGCCAGATTCTCTTTGGTGAAGGCCCCCAGGATTTCAAGCCTCTCCTAGAGCTTTAGTATGTACTGTACAACATTCTCTGTTCTAGGAGCCTGCTCATCCCACATCTCATGGACAAAGTCTAAGATACCCCAGGTAGTCTCTCATATAAAAGAGATCAAACAGGAAAAATCTAGTAGATGACTGGGGTATCTCCGAACTATCAAATAAAAAGGAGGGGGATCAGTTGATCCCAGTGTCTAGGATATGCAGTAATAAACTGCTTTAAACATCCTTTTCAGGTCTGGTTGAACGATTTGACCAAACCATCGGTCTGCAGGTGATTGATGCACATTTGTAGGGTCTTTATTTTTAATAGTTCACAAGTCTCCTTCAACAGATGGAACACAAAATTAGTGCCTCAGTTGGTTAGGATTTCTTTAGGCACACTGATGTGGGCAAAGACCATTAGAAGTTCTGCTGCAATAGTCTTTGCACTGGAGCAGTGCCATGGGACTGCTTCCGGATATCAGGTGGCATAATCAGGTCTGACCAGTATACATTTATAACCAGATGCACTCTTTTCTCAGAGTCTGAGCAGATCCATCCCGATTCTCTCAAATGGGAATGGGACTAGTAGGGCTTTGGTCACCCCTCTTTAGGCCCAATGAGCTGCTACTTGGGATATAAGCTACAGAAGTCTTTGACTTCTTGGTGAATTCCGGGTCAGTAGAAGCAGCCTAGAATCCTGGCCAAAATCTCCTCATGCTGAGGTGGCCTGTAGCGGAGGCAGCATGAACCAACCACATGAACTTGCACCGATGAGACTGGGGAACGAGGAACTGCGATCAAATTTCACGAGTCGGTCGGTCTCTCTCCTGCTGGTATAGTCGCTCAGGCCGGAGCTTAAATTGTGGGTACTGCTCTGCTCGATGTGGGTCTATTACCTCTCTGTTGTCCACTGACACCTGGTCATAGGCCTGGCTGAAGGTCTCATCCTCCCTCTGATCTCTGGCCAAGTTGGTCCCTCTAGTTAGGATGCCCCAGTCCTATTGGGGCATTGGCATCATTTCGTCACTATGTGGGGCTTCTGAGGGAGCATCCTCTTGTCCAGACACCCCAACTCCAGGGTGTAGCTCCTCAACTATAGCTACCAACACCCCAGGGACTGGATCTCCTGAGTTAGCCTCTCTGGGCAATCCAGGCCTGTCTTAACTCCATTCAGTAACTCAGATAAATACTCCCAATCTTGTCCTCAGATAATGGAGTAGGTCAGCATTGAGGCCAGCCCTGCTAACAGGAGCCTCCTGTGTTCCCCTACAGTCAACTGCATCCACGCATTAGGATAGGGTTTAACCTCCCCATGGACACCCGGTAAGAAAATAATTCCCCCACCCCCGTCTCAGGATTCAGGATTAGATGGTCCCAAACCAGGGTCTGACCACACCCAGAATCTACCAGACTTGTCACCTCTGTCCTGATTATCCAGATAGGGACAGTTAGTTTAACCAGAGTTTGCTTACAGAGTATGGTCCCTTCTGGCTTTATAAAATATGACTCTATGAACTCCCTTTTTCTGTTACAAAATTATGGCCTGAACCTGAAAGGGGTTGAACATCTGAAACTCCCAGTGGAGTCCGATATGCACTTCTATGCCACCAGGAATGCTCACTCAACACCTCTCAGGATCAGGCTCTTAATGTGTTCAGTTAACTGAAAATTAAGATCATTCCCCCACACCCAAAACAATCCCTAAATTCACATGTCCATATTTGATGTTTTGAGGCTCAGCCCATTAAAAAGAACTTCCTGAAAATTGAAAAGATTTTTGGATCTATAGGTTTGGTTCAAGATATCTCATTCCAGTGCCTCCACCCAGTACCATGAGATTCCTTTCTCCCCACCCCCAATTTTTTGGTCACTTCTCTGGGTTGGTTTTTCATGGTTTGTGGTACATGCTATATTACACAAGGCCTCAGAAATGGAATTGTTTCCCAGCAATGGTTTGCATTAGCAGTAACATTCTACATCTTCAGAACTTTGCCTCTTTACTCTTTGCTTTCATGTAGTTTTTCTTCCCCACCTTACTAGCACTGGGTTCCTGGAATACAATGCCTTTTTTGAGGTGTGTTTAAACTACAGAGACTTTACCAGCATAGCTCTGTTGGTATAACCCCGTAGCACAGACATAGCCTACACCGATGATAGGGGGTTTTCCATTGGTGTAGGAACACCACCTCCCCAACCAAAGTTAGCTCTGTTGACAGAAGCATTCTTCTGTCAACATAGCTGCTCCTACACTGGAGGCAGGTTGACATAGCTATGTTGATCAAGGGTGCGTTTTTCTCAGCCCTCCGACCAACGTAAGTATGCCAGCCTAACTTTTAAGTGTAGACTAAGATCCCTGGAACTTTCAAACGCTGACCTTTTTCTTTGTCTTGAAGATCTCCCCTTCTCACAGGCTCACTATGTAGCGATGTGTCCTTCGCTTTGGATTAAAGATTTCTCAAACAGCATAGCTTTTTGATTTCTCCAACAGCTTTTTCCTCCCTAATGTTACACGCTGTTCTCTATCCAGGTCTGGATTCATAACTTTCTGACTAAACAACTAGCTTCTCTCTTCAGGTTTTATATACTGCTGCACGAAACAAACAAGCACTCTCGTCCAGTCTTCACTCTTACAGATGCAGCTGTAAGTTAAATTGCCTCTCTAGTCTGCTAGCAGAAAGTTTAAGGCCCCATGCACACTGTTTCCTGAACCATGTATCATGACAGAGTTGTTTAAACACGGTTTAGCGGGCCAGCATTACTATTTAATACCTCTTCAGGAAAATTTAATAAAAATTTAGTCCAATTGGGCCTAAAGGAAAATAGTTCATGTTTTATAAAACACACCTTTTACATTAACTTTTAAAAGGCACTTCCAGAGTTTAGGCAGGGCCTTAAATTAGCAGTGTTTACTTTAGCCCCATTATAATTAAGAGCCTGTCAGCATTTCCAAAATAAGCACCCATTTTTGGAATTTAAACTGGCCATTAAATTCTGTTCCAGGCTGAAATTTTATACACGTTTCAGTCTGAACAAAGTTTCCAACTAAATGAATGCTTTTAAATTTTAGGCAAGCAAAAAAGATACAAGCTTATGAAAAAGCACGTTGTAGCTGATAAATGTGAGTATCTTGAGCCTTTTTAATTTTGTAAGGAAATTGAGTCCTACCAAACATGGACTCTTGATTAGGGCTGTAGGACATTATATACCACAGATAGCTTTACCTAGCTTTAAAACCATTCCGATGTCATTAGTTTGCAGAAGTCTAAAGAGCAACAGTACTCATAAACCCAGCATCACCAGATTAACTGCACTATATCCTGTCTGAAATATCAATAATGCCTACACTGCCTAAATTCCAGCACACTGAGCTGAGAGACTACAGATGAGCCTTTGTACAGAAGTACTTACTGAAAAGAAATGGATAAAGAGAGGCACTACCCCGTTCAGTCTTCTATCTGCAACTCTCACTCTGGCTTCTCCCTCATGGATGTCCTGCCACCACCTCAAGCTCAGTATGGCAAAACCTGCACTCATCTTTCTTCAAATAAACCTCCCTCTCGCCTCCATTATTTTAGCAACTCTATCACCTTCCCTGTTCCTTGGCATCATCGACTCCTCTGCCTCTACATAAGTAGAGTCGCTAAATGCTCGTTTTTCCCTCTAGCATAACCAGAAATGCATCTGTGCCTTTTCATTCCCACCACTGAAAAACTTCACGGTTTACTGCCTCATGTCTTAGATTTTGGTTTCAGTTAAATAAAAAAGCATTGAAGAGCAGAAAATTAAAATTGTGCAAGGCAAAGAAAGCCAAACTGTCCCATCACTATGAAAATTGGGTTAAAGAAATGAATTTCAAGAAGTCAGTAGATAGATATACAGGAGAGAACAAACAGCAACATACCTATTTTGTGTAGATTTTGCTTCTTTTCATTTTCAAAATTATCTTTGTCCTCTTGATCCTCCTCATTCTCACTATCCAAATTAGTTTCCGTCTCTACAGCTCCAGACAGGACTAGGGCTGGCATATTTGGCTGCTCTGTAAAGATCCAAAAAACTTTCAAGTCAGCCAGGTAGTACAGAGGATACAGGATATGCTAACCAATATCCACTAGCAGCTTCCTTGTTCAGTTTACAGAAACTTTGCTCTCAACTCCACTCCCCACACACCCTTACATCCTATGTCGAAGGGTCTGATTCTGTGCAGAGGACCCTTAAGCCCAAGATTTATGGTTGCTCAGCACCTCACAGAAACAGGCCCTAAACGTTTATTTTGGTCATTATAAATTGGAAGAACAATTAAATTAACCATTGGCAAAGGGAGGAAAAGGACTACCTCTCTCTAAAGATCTTCCTGAAGAGAAAGAAGCATGAGAAGGTTTCTGTCGAAGCAAGGTAAGGTGCACCACCTGGCCAGTGCGACGCAGCGCCTCCACCACTTCTTGGTTGGAGCAATCCTGAACATTAATCCCATCAACCTAGTACAGACACACCATCAGATTATAGACATCAGATTACAGTTGAGTTCTAACATTCACAGAGATATGTAAACCAACAGTGCAACTCGTCTCTCACAGTTATACTGATGGCCCTCACAGACTGCAATGGTTGCAAAAGAAGAATTGCATTAATTCAGCTACTTCAAAATAATCAGATAAATGCCATCTTCAAAGTTTCTTCTTAAAAGAAAAATACAAAAATAAAAACTTCTCCTTGATAGCAGGCATGGGCCAACACAAAATAGCAATTTACTAGATTTACAGAAATGTAAAATACGTTTGCTTTTCAGCAGAGATACTGTGTGCAGACAGCAGCTTGCACAGTACTGTGCATGGAGCTTCCTGGATGAGTTTGAGAGATTAACAGTCTGTTCAGATCATAGCATAAGTTTTCTGCCAACCTCTACCAAGCCTCCACACATAAATATGCAGATAACCACGTACGCAATCAGTGCATAATGGTAAAAAAAGGGAGTGGGTAGACTAATCTAACCTGGACTCCACAGTCCCCAAATGAGAAGTGGGTAAACTCTATTGACCCTTGACTAGACTATGCACACACAAAACTGCAGCTGTAAGTACAAAGTGGGAACCAAATGAGGGAGAGGCCAGGCTTTGAAAATTTAGGCATTGTATCTACAGAACATCTGCTCCCAAATATTTTATATGCACTTTGTAAAAGTCAGATCTCTTTTCAGGATAAGAAATCTTTAGAGTTATTCCTACTTGTATTACCAATGCAAAGTTAGCCATTACATGTTAACGTGGCCCTGACGTTTATCCAGCCGGTTTTAAATTTTTTCACCTATAAAGAAAAGGATCTTTTTTAACATCTGCGTTACTAATATTTTGGTGATGTCAACCCAATGTTAAATACTTATAGATGGGCATAAAGGACTCAATTCTGCAAGGTATCGAGCACTTTCAAATCCCACTAACTTTAACAGGAACTGAAGATGTTCAGTTAGGGTGACCAGATGAGGGGAAGAAAATATCGGGACACATGAGGGTGTGGGGGGGGTGAGGAGCCACCGGCTGAGCAAAACGGAAAAAAACAAAAACAAAAAAAAAAAACACACCACACAGTGCGGCCGGCGGATATTGAGACAAAATGTGTCCCGACCGATCTTCGGTCGGGAGAGAGACCGAAATATCGGGACGGACCCGATTATATCGGGACGTCTGGTCACCCTATGCTCAGTACTTTAATCAGGCCCTAAGTCAAGATCCCTGCTCTAAGATGCTTCAATCCAAACATCTATCCTGTTTTACTATTTACGATTCTCTCACATTTTTGGTAGTACACTAATAATCTAACCACTGCAAACCAGAGCTATTAGCTCAAATAGTAATTCTTGTTGACAGTCATAAATTTGCCAACGTTCCTCCCTTTTACAACCTGGAGGTGCTTTAGTGTGAATGAAGAACAAGCTTTAGTAGAGAGTGTGTTTTAAAAATCCAGATATATGTAAAATAACCGCTAGTTCCAAAATTGATCCAATGAAATATTTCACTTACAGCAACAATTTTGTCCTGGACTTGTATAAGGCCACTGTGATCTGCAGCACTGCCAGGTATTATATTTTTCACAAAGATCCCTGAAGAATCTGCTTTAAAATATAAAACAAAAACAAATGAATGAATAAATAAAAGAAAGTACTAATTTGGGCCTTTTGTTAAGCACACATTTATTTAGAGCTTAAGAACCATGCACCTCTGGAGACCTGGGTCCACAAGTGGAATGAAGTTGCATCTCCTCCTAGTCACAAATGAACATTGAAATCACAACACTCACATAATTTACTAGTTATGCATGATTCCAAATCTGCACTCAAGAGAAGAGCAGCAATGCAAGCAACCATATACTGCCCTTGTTGATTTACCCTGCTCAGAAAAGTCCCTTTCTATGATAGGTCAGTTTCCATGCCTATACAGGCTTTGATCCATCAAATCACTTACATATGATAAATTTGACTTCAAGGGGAGTATTTATGCTTAGAAGTGAAGCATGTGCTTAAGTGCTTTGCCGGATCAAGGCCTCGCTCATCCTCTTACATTTAGTTTTAGCAATTCAATAATTTAAATCAGACAAATCCCTTGTGAAAAATCTCACGCAAATGCACTTTTCTATTGTATAAATATATTTTGTAAGGGGATATATAGAAATCACAAAAAGCTTTCCTTCTTTCTCATGTGTAGAGTTGGACAAAAGCACTCTGTACACCCGTAGTTACGTACAGATATTTTGGTGTGCTCCCAGAGTTCAGACACTAGTGCAAAGTATGAAATAGCTATCTGCTGAAAAAGAATCACCTTGTGAAGATGGCACACACATTAAACACTGTTGAGATGCTTACAGTCCTGCACTGGCAGAGAGATGGACTGGATAATCTAATAGGTCTTTAAATCTCAGACATCGAACTCATTAAAGAAATGAAAGTGCATGTTGAACTATGTGGCATGTATCAAAGACTTCAGCAAAAACATAAGGCCAGTCTGGGCATTTGATAAACCTCTGCTCTAGTCTTTCATAATCAGTCAGTGTATAACTCACCTACATCAGATGTTCCAGTATATCCAATAATTGTTATACCGAGGCTTTGTCCATCTTTTTTTGTAAGCTCCACGTCATAGGTATCAAAAAGAGTGGTGTTAGCCTAGAAATAAAATATTATACAGTTTATAAAACTGAATGTCCACATTACAGTAAAAAAAGTTTGTTATATCACTGACATTTTAAACTACAGGCTAAGGTTTGAAGACGTGACCAGTGATTTTGGTAGACCAACTTCAGACACCTCAAAAGGGGGTCTCACTTCCAGAAGCTAGAAAATAAAGCTATCAATTTGGGCACCCAAAATTACTAGTCACTTTTGAAAATCTTGGCTATATAATATATACGATATCAGAAACAAGTGTCTATAAAAACATAAGATATTCATATACAGCCAAGGGGCCATGCTTATCACAGTACCTAACGCCACACAGTAAGTGCTTTGGAAAGTCTCTATTGGTTAATTAGGAACAGAGAATTGCTTCAGGTACACGACATCATGACACCATGCCAGTGGAAGAGAGAAAATACTTGGCTCTCAGTCCCCTGGCTTTATCAAAAATTATTTTTCTCTTGGACCCTATTAATGGAAAGTATTTTGATTCCTTACAATTATTAAAGAAACCACACACTTGTTCTCTTTAGTGTAAAACGTGCTCATGAGCTCCTTCGGACAGAGATTGTTACACTCCTATGTTTGGAAAGCACCCAACATACTGTGGGTGCTACCAGAAAAAAAACAATGATATGCACTTTTTGGTAATTATATCCAACAAATGCATATAGCACGTTTTAAAATATGGTGTTCAAGATAAAGCTAGGTGTGCAAGACACCATTTTATTTTATATCAATCATATGCATATCTACTTAATTACATTTAAGGGCAAGTTTGAAATGATTACTATCCTGATTTGAACTGGACTGGACTGTACAGAGAAGTGGATGCTTCAAAGGACTTGTTTAGAAGGTGAAGTGATAACAAGAAGTCAAAGCCACATTAAAAATCACTTCCACTGAGTACAAGTTAAATCATGGGAGCGGGGAGAAAATCTGGAGAATTTTTTTAAAAGCTTTACAGCTTTAAAAAAAAAAATAGAGACCATTCATCATAACAAGGGAAACTAGAACAGAGAAGAATGGAATAGTACATAATTTGGCACTTCTTTTGGCTTCTGAATCATCTGTTCAATGTTTTCTTAGATAAATAGTTACAATCTAATAAGGTATTCAGACATGGTCTGATCCGAGGAGAAATTTACAGATATGTCCCCTGAAGCTGGCCCTCACCATCCCCCATTTTGGATTTGCTCACTTGATCTTTGGTTGTGTTTCTCCCCACAGAGCCATTTTGATAGTCCAGGACCTTTCCTTCAAAGGCAACACCAGAAACCTTAGCACCAGAAGCACTTCACAGAATGACTGACGCTATTTCCTAGTTCTGCAAAAATATTCATCTATGGAACGTTACTGGAAGTGGAGTAGTAGAATATGGACTTAACGGGTGGATTCTGGGAAATATAGACACACAATCCCAAACATAACAACCCATTCCCAAGCTGTGGCTAAATTGGTGGGTTGTAGCTATGTGCCTTGCACGTATGTGCCTTGCTCATGACTAACTGTATAAGATTTTCTGTTTCCTTACATGTGTATACACAAAGGAGTGTGGATTTAGAAACTGTGGTAGAGAACTGTGGTAGCTTAATGCAAAACTAGTGGTTTAATATACAACAAACTAAATTGGCAATTCAAGACATATTTCTGCTGATTTAAGCGGTAATAATGCTGGAAAAATCTTGCCATTGTAAAATTCTCAGCTAGTAAAAGCCTTCTCAGAAGTCAGAGGAGAACGAGATTCTGGTAGTAAAAAATTGCTCTCTTTCTTGTGCAGTAGATTCCTTGGTGCAAAGTGATTTTCGTGACCTGCCTTTAAAAAGTACAATAAATGAAGCAGGAAAAACACATTCACATTAGCTACCGCTGTCAATTTCTACCAGCAAATTGACCAGATACTTCTTCAATCTAAATGCCTGGGCTCTGCCAACAAAGAATGCAATTGATGTCATGACCAGAGGTGAACGTAAGCCAGTACACACCAGTACGGCGTACCGGCAAGAGCCGGTTTGCCATACTGGGGTGGCCCGGCTTCCCCAGGGGGCAATTTAAAGGGCCTAGGGCTCCCAGCAGCGGCTGGAGCCCCAGGCCCTTTAAATTGCCACCAGAGCCCCACAGCTGGAGCCCTGGGGTAGGGCTCCGGGGGCTATTTAAAAAGTCCGGGGCTCCCGCTGCTTCTACTGCCCCAGCCCTTTAAATAGCCACCGGAGCCCCACCGCCACTACTCCAGGGCTCCAGCGGCTATTTAAAGGGCCGGGGAAGTAGAAGCAGGGGAGCCCCGGGCCCTTTAAATAGCCCCCAGAGCCCAGGGGTAGCAGGGGGACTCCAGGGGCTATTTAAAGGGATCGGGGCTCCAGCTGTCTCTGCTGCCCCAGCCTTTTAAATAGCTGTTGGAGCCCCGCCACCAGGGCCGGCTCTAGGTTTTTTGCCACCCCAAGCAAAAAAAAAAAAAATTTTGGGCTGCCCCCTGTCCCAGCCCTGGGCTCCTCGCCGCACCCCCCTCGCTGCCCCAGCTCTGGGCTCCCTCATTCCCCCCCCACCACACACACACCTCCTGCCGCCCCAGCCCTGGGCTCTCTCCCGCCCTCCCCCACCTGCACCACTGGTAACTCGCTCCCACGGCAGGTCATTCAGCGTGAATTTTAGATGTGCACAGAACACAGACAGGATTG